GTTAAGTTTCTATATATAATAGTATTGGTTAGTAACGTTGAAAACTAATACATATATGTATGATTAAATGTTTATATATTTTACTTGCATATACAACATATTACCATTATTAATATATACTTTTATGTATATATGTGTAGTTTGGTTTTGATGTAGTAAAGAATAAGATTATTAGTATTGGTTAGTAACGTTGAAAACTAATATATATGTACGACTAAACGTTTATATAGTTTACTTGTGCACATATGTATGTATATATATTGTATATGTGTAGATAGGTACCTAGTCGGGGTCATTTTCTCATCGGAGATCTGCGTACCTTTTCTTGGAGCCGCCTACGTTGGTGAAAAGAATCGAGAGAGGATCTCTTGGCATCTTGTCCGCGTCTAACGATTCGTTCCAATCGATTTTCATTTATCTTACTTATCATTTTGTTGTTGGTTGTTAATCTCTTCCCATTTGTTTTCTCTTCCCTTTTAGATATATATATATTTGTATAAATAATAGAGTAATTATCTCGTAATATTAATCGATGTCAAATAATTAGAGTAAAAAAGAATTGTAACTTTTATCATTTTGATAAATTATTATATATTACACTCATAAAAGATAGTAATTTATTGAATAAAAAATATATTTAGAAATGATAAAGCATATTATAAAAGGAATTATTGCTGATTATTAATGTTATAAATGTGATAAATATTAATCGGGTACATTCAATGTATGTTTTCACATAATTTTCCATAGATGCGATATATTATTATTTTTACACCAATATTTCTTAACACCCATATATTTCAGGAACGTATTAATTGTATAAAAACAGAGAATTAGGTGTATAAATTTATATACATAAAATCCGACGCGTAATATTTTTCATAAATAACAAATTTATTTATCATTATCCAAGGAAAAAGAAAAATTAATCATACGACTTTTGTCTCTCTTATTTTTTTTTCTTTCTCTCTCTCTCTCTCTCTCTCTCTCTCTCTCTCTCTCTCTCGTTCAAACGTAAAAGTTCAAAGAAGTTGGCGAGTTTTATCTTAATAAAAATGACGCAAAATATTACGCATCGTTTAGGATTTAGTAATATGCGTGTTGGTTTGATGTTTTACCCGATAAGGGATTATTTTAATCTCAGAAAATTGTCGGTGTATGGAACGTTAATGCGTTAAATAGAGAAAGGATTCATCGCGCTACCGCCTTTTAAACATCGCTAACGTTAGGTTAGGCTCATAATGTACACATATATGTATACTACCACGTGTTCTCTTCCGTTGATCCTTAAACTTAAGAAGAAAAAAGAAAAAGAAGAAGAAGTAGAAGGGGTGGAATTTTTCAAGCATAAAAAAATGCCGATAGAAAAAGAAAAAGAAAAAGAAGAAGCAATGACTATCGTAATTAAACCATTGACGTTGTTGGCGGTACCGTAAGGGTCAATCCACGGTCGAACATCATATTCTTCAACGTTGATCGTAGACCTTTGGAAAGATAGAAATAACGAGAGAAAGAAAGAGAAAGAGAGAGAGAGATAGGTGGGAGGGAATGGGGGTGGGCTGGGATTCTGTTAGTTGCTAGAAAGAAAAAGGATAAAGAAAATTTGAACCGCGTGAACCGTATGAACATTCGAAGACTTAATGGCCGGAATTTGTCTGACCATGGCAGGCAAACACTGACAAGTACTTTTGTCCGAACTCTACGATCAATTTTAGTTGGATGATAAATATTTTAACGAAATAAATCTCCACAGGATGTATCTATCTGATAATAATATATCAATTGATTTGATTAATATTTTTATATTAATCGTTTTCTACGATTAAACGTTTGACGTATTAGCGAATTATTCCGAGATAAAAAAAAATAGTTTAACGGATGTGTTTCATTCATATAATTGATTCGTTTTAATCGATTCGATCCCCATTTTCTTCTTCTTGTTTTTTAATTAAATTAAAAGCTTTTCACATAGATC